TTTTTTTTCATTCTCTATTAATGGAACAACAGACAAGACCAAAATATTCCTTATTTTCCTCAAATTTAATTCTCTCACACTTTTTAATCAACGAAAACAACAGCTTTCGCAAATGGTGCTTAATTTCGTTAATCGAATCAATGTTAAACCTTACTTGATTAATCTATGCATGAAACAGATTACAAGTGACGGCCGATGTTTTTGATTAGTGAATGCGGAAAGCATGCATCCGTGGGTGACGCCATGAAATCGATTACGAGCAGTTTGGTGTCAAGAAGGCCTGCCCTGCTGTCCCCACCCACATCTGCAGGCTTTCCTGATCCAGCATCGTTGGCCTGATAGATTTACCTGGAAAGGGAGCTCCTCATTAAGACCCTCACACTGGGAGTGATCCCGCCATGGATGGCCAGAGTCGTCCACCACCCACTGTCCATCTGCCCCACATTTCTGGAAAACAAAGCCATCTTGCACTAGAGGGGGAAAGGGAGAGAAGGAAAACGGGAAGCAGGGAGATGATGGAAAATTGTTTAGTTGATATTTCTCTATTATTTATATTATAGAGCAGTGGTCCTCAACCTTGGGCTTCCAGATGTTCTTGGACTACAACTCCCAGAAGCCTTCACCACCACCTCTGCTAACTAGGATTTCTGGGAGTTGAAGTCCAAGAACATCTGGAGGCCCAAGGTTGAGGACCACTATTATGGAACATTAGTGTACCTGGGTACCTTGAGGAATGGAATAGGTCAGTGGTTCCCAAATGTGGGGGTCCCCAGATGTTCTTGGACTACAACTCCCAGAAATCCTGGCCAGCGCAGATCATGGTGAAGACTTCTGGGAGTTGTAGTCCAAGAACAACACATGGGAAACCAAGGTTGGGGGCCACTGTTATAGACACATTGGCAGGTCTCTCCATGCAAGGAGCTGACCATCTGTAACGGACAGTGGGGTCACACAAAGCTGGGGGACGTTCCTTTGGACTACAACTCCCAGAATCCCCAACAACTGGCGAGGCTGGCTGGCGCTGGGAGGAGTTGTAGTTTAAGATCCGGAGGGGCTCAAGTCGGCAAAAGGTGCCTCGGTTCAGCCATTGCAAGATGGCGGCAGTGCTGGAATCAACCCGAGAAAGGATACGATGCCGTTTCTGCGTGGCGATTAAGCTTCTGAGGGTGTGGGAGCGAACGTGTGTGAGTGTGTGTGTGTGAGAGAGAGTGAGGCAGATTTTTGTGTCAGCTAGATTCCTTTGAAAGAGCTCAGAAGAAAGGCGCTGGTCATTACCAAAACCTTTCCATTTAGACCAGTTTCCCCACCCTTCTCGGCAGCTAACTGTCTACGTGAAACACACAACGAACACTACAACATATGATAGATATTTAATATTATAAATGAGAAACGTCTGCTCAAATATACGCAAACAGCATAGAAGCCGCGGTATAAGACTTATCAAACTGTTATTGTTGATTTCCTCAAAACGTCTCCAAGCGGCTATGTTTGAAAGTAGCCATGTTTCAGCCTGGTGAGAGTTCGGGGTGGTATCCAGGCTTCCTATGAAAGGGGTTAAGCAGGCTCGCAGAGATGAAAGAGTGCCAGGGGTCTTTCTACAGACAGCGCTTACCTTGGTGGTACCACGGCAGGTACCAGGGACAGGGGACTTTGGCAGAGGTATTAGGGAGGGCATCACCCCAGCAGGCATACATGTCAAATGTCCGGTTGCACACCAGGCCTGGAAAACAGAGCAGAGGGAAGGGAAGGTAGGCCGCAGGCTTAGGGTCAAATTACAAGTTACAGACACCACATCGTTTGAAGCTGAACTGTGTTCGTATTCCAGAAACATGGTTCTACCAGGCCTGTGAGATCGAGCACTCATACTTAACACAGGAAGCCTGTAATCATTTCCTGAAGACCAGTCACAAAAACAAAACAAGCGAACTTGCAAACCTGCAAGAGGTGTAAAAAGCTTCCCTCGTGACAATCAGACATCCTTCTTCACTTAAGGAAACCCTTCTTCTCACAGCCTGCTATTTGTAATGTATAATTTGACCCTCGGCCAATGGCTGGAAATGGGAATTCACGTTTGAGAAGAGGGAGAACAGCAGCAGCTGATTAATGTCTCCTGGAGCAGTCCAAGATATTTTGCCACTTGAGGCAGAGCCAGAAATAGCCTCCTCCCCACCCAAGTCAAAGTATACTTCTCCCTTCAACAACATCAGGGTTAGGGTTGCTGGGCCCCTAATATTTATTTATTTTAAATGTGTATAACCAAAACTGTGTTGTTCAGATCCGTGCAATTCAAGGGACAACTGTGCATCGTATCTGAAGGGAGACAAGTTATCCTGCCACTTCAGATGGAAAATCCCACATGGAAAAGTTGTGTGAACTTCTCGCAAGCCATAAACATGTGACAGAAAAATGCCATTATGGAACTTACTATATTTTTCCGTGTGTAAGACGATACTTTTCTCTAATATATTTAGATTAAACACTGAGAGTCGTCTTATAGACGGAAGTAAGGAGGGGAGGGATCAAAGCGTTTTGATCCCTGTTTCCCCCCCTCCACTTTCTTGCAAAGAAAGAAATTTTGGGTTAGAAAAGTGGGGTGGCATCTAATACATGGGGTGTCTTCGGGAAAAATATGGTCTCAGTGGAGGGCAAGAAGAATCAGTTGAGAGAGGAGCGTTCCTTACCTGTGGGTTGAGGGTCCTCTAGCATCTTTTGAAGGCAGTCTTGCCGATACTGTCGCCAGTCTTCCAACATATCCTTGGCTGAATTCTCAGTGGTCCTGCTCTGTGACAGGAAGAAACAACATTGCAGATACGAACTTTAAGTCTAGACACTCATCGTTCGTCCAGACGGTGAATTTCTGCAACTCCCTGCGTTTTGCTGCTTGCTTCTGGGAGACCCGCAGTTTTTGTATCCAAATATTCCTTTTAAAACCCACTTCTTTTCTATTTCAGAAAGATGCATCTCTTTAAGAGATTTCTAAGGAATGTCCAAGGAAAATTTAATGAACTCAACATCCATGCTGTATCTTCTCTGCTGGAGCTAATTTTTTGTTTATTTGGGGTTTGTTTTTGTTTTTTAAGTGATTATTCAAAGCTTCCTACAGGGAATCGCACGCTGCAAACATTCACCTCAACCAGGAAGTGTTATAGCGCTAAACTGCACCACTCCGGGGGACCATGTGGTGCTAAAAACAAGCCATGCTTTTAGGAAGGGAGAAAAGAAGCTGAAAGTCATACACAGAGGAACAGCTGAGGAGGCTGTTGCCTGCCTGTAGCTAAGAGCAAAGCTCATCCTGTCCGTTTTGTAATTCAATTTGGAAAGGACTCCACCTCAAGAAAAGGACCAAAGGGAAGCAAGGTCGTGCATCCTTCACCTCACCTCTGCTTTCTTCTGGAGCAATGCGAACAGCAGTAAGAGTTCGAGCGATTCCTGCATGCTTCGCGAACAACGGAGCCAGGATACGGCCAGCGGGAAGCGGCCATCTCAAGCCTCAAGCCCTGAGTAGGATCCTCTGCCCGCCTCCATCCACATTTGGACCCAAGTCTGGCTGAAGCTTTCTGGGGGAGAAACCACCAGAGAGAAAAACCTGGAACCTTTGGCATCCGTCGGCTTTTTCATTTGCAGATCCTGGAAAAATTACATTTCTGGACTACTATATAGTTATCTGCCATCAAAGCAGTTCCTTACTGACCCTTTCTAGGGTTTATTTGTATGCATAGAATTAGTCCCTCATTCTCATCTTCTGAAGGCACTCTAAGATCATCTGGCTTGCCCAGGACAACCCACAGTGGCTGAATGGCTCTTCTCCTACAAGGTACGCCAAGGATTCGCACTCGCAACCTTTGGCTCCACAGCCAGCGGATTTAGCTCCCTGAGCTATTAACTTGTACGTTGTTGGACTAAAACTCGTAACATTGCCTAGCACACACACACACCCCATGCCCAGCATTTGTTTCCTAGCCATTGTGAATCATTTCCCTGGGAAATAAATTTCTTCTCCACGTTCTAGGGTCATGGAAGCCGTCTTCTATTCATCCCCCAACACCTTACAACAAGAACTGATACCCTGGATAAAACCTGAGATACTTTGGGCACCTCTTGAGAAGGTAGGATTCTCCACAAAAGACAATCAGGCTGGGAAAGGTGGAAGGCAGCAGGAAAAGAGGAAGACCACATACAAGATGGACCGACTCGATAAAGGAAGCCATAGGGTTGAGTTTGCAAGAGCTGAGCAGAGTCGCTGAGGACCAGGGATTTTGGAGATAACTGATTTATGGAGTCACCATGAGTTGGAGGCCACATCGTAAGAGCAACACAGCGACAGTGAGACCTTCTAAATGCAAGGCACATATTCTGCCACTGACTCCTGGCCCGTCTTTTAGCTTTTCTGTTCCGACTTATGGCAACCTCTTTTTCGTGTTTCCTAGGTTGACAGTACTCAGAAGTGGTTTACTATGCCCTTCCTCTGGGGGCGGCTCTCGCACGGTCTTCCGCTTCCCCAAGGCCACCCAGGTAGGTTGGCTCGTCTCCCAGGAGGCCCAGTGGAGAATCGAACTCCAAACCTTGGCAGCCAGAGACCTAAACCATGAAGCGATCCAGCCAGCTCTCTTCTATCGAAAATAACAAGCACCTTCATATAAAACCCTAGAGTTTCAGGGGTCTCTTTTTCAGGTTTCCTAGGTTGACAGTACTCAGAAGTGGTTTACTATGCCCTTCCTCTGGGGGCGGCTCTCGCACGGTCTTCCGCTTCCCCAAGGCCACCCAGGTAGGTTGGCTCGTCTCCCAGGAAGGCCCAGTGGAGAATCGAACTCCCAACCTTGGCAGCCAGAGACCTAAACCATGGAGCGATCCAGCCAGCTCTCTTTTATTTAAAAGAACAAGCACCTTCACATAAAAAAACTGGAGTTTCAGGAGGGAAATGTTCCTAGTCTAAATTTTATATCACAAGTTTTTTTTTTTGTCGGCAAGGGTTTTAAAAATGCATGGAAATGTTATTTTTAAAAACCTGTAATTTTCTCAGAATCAGAACAAAATCAGCATCCCCTAGGCCTTTCCTTCCTTTTCTATTTTCTCTAGCCATTGCACAAAACTTGTCCTGTCAGCCGATGAAAAATGCCATTAAAGGAGCTGGACATTTGAACTTAGGGCCTCCATCCAAAACCCATCCATTTCTTGTTTCCACACGCTGATGTTTATTTAGCTAAAAGCCGCCGGGAGGAAACAAAAATTGAAAAATCAATGTGAACTTCTCGGCAGCCCCTGCTGTTCATCAGCCGGGAGCACGCCGTGTCTTGTAGACCACATTACAAGGAACCAGAAAAGATGGCGGAGAGACAGCAAACGACACCGTGGGTGGGTTCCTCGGTAATTCCAAACAATTGATGGCGCAGGGGATAGAAGAATAAAATAATCATCATCGCTTGCCATCAGATCAGTTCTGATTTGTGGTGACCCTTTGCAGGATTTGCCGGGAAGAGAATACTCAGAAGTGGTTTGCCCTTCTTCTGGGGGAAGCCCTTGGACGGTGCAGATGGAACCAGAAAAGATGGCGGAGAGACAGCAAACGACACCATGAGTGGGTTCCTCAGTAATTCCAAACAATTAATGGTGCAACTAGTACAAGATGTGAATGCTCTTTTCCCAGAAAGCACAGTGGGAGGAATCGAACTCCCAACCTAACTAAACCACTGAGCTATCCAGACAGCGGACGCCAACCTACAAGCAGCCCAAATAACTGCTCCTTGCAGCTACTACAAGATGTGAATATTATTGTGGCAATCTTTTTTTTAATGGGGGGGCCATTGGAGGAGACCCTTGGAGTGGATGCACCCCTCTAAAGTCCGAAGGAGGGGCATGCCATCTCCAGACCTCTGGAAATTGACCGCCTGTGGTTAAAACTGTTGATAAAAGCACCATAATTCTTGGAAATGATGGGTGAACGAACCGCCAACCGTTCAGAAAAACATAGAAAAAGCCCTGTGGTCCTTCCGTGATATGGATGCAACAGCAGACGATAACTGTATGAAATAACAATCTTCTGCTGTTGAGCCTATTTTGATTTATAGCAACCCTTTCTAGGATTTTCCTAGGCAGAGAGGCCTCAGACGTGTACTACTCCCATTCCTTTCTTTTGGGACTGTGGGTTTCTACATGCTATCAAGTAACGTCTAACTTAACAGCAACGCTACCAGGGTTTTTGAGAGATGAGAGATAACTCAAGAAGTGGCTTATGACAGCTCTCCGCCTGGAGTTTTGAGAGATGAGAGATAACTCAAGAAGTGGCTTATGACGGCCCTTCGCCTGGAGTCCTCCATGGCTGAGTGGGAATTTGAACCTGGGGCTTACAGGTCCTTGTCTGAAACTCTATGCACCCCCCCCCACAGGGGCTGTATTTTGCTATATTTAGGCCATTTAAAACACAACAGCCTCGGTTTTATACAAACAACATTACAAACAGAAACGAGAGATAACTCAAGAAGTGGCTTATGACGGCCCTTCGCCTGGAGTCCTCCATGGCTGAGTGGGAATTTGAACCTGGGGCTTACAGGTCCTTGTCTGAAACTCTATGCACCCCCCCCCACAGGGGCTGTATTTTGCTATATTTAGGCCATTTAAAACACAACAGCCTCGGTTTTATACAAACAACATTACAAACAGAAACGAATGCCGTTCCTGCTATTCTGAGTGACTCAAATCTTAATCTTTAAATGCTGTTGGCTCATTCAGAAAGAGAAAGTGTTTCATCTTTTTTTTTCTAAAAACAGACTATTTGTCTCATGGAGAAAAGGAGGATTTCCCCCCCCCCTAAATTTTTCTCTTTTCCCCTCGTCTTTCTTCCCTTCAGGCCTTCAAATCTCTGCACCCTGCCTGAAGCTTTCAAGGTACATCATGACCTGTAAGAACAACCTTAATATAACTCAGCATCTTGATTACATTCAGGCAAGAAAAGCAGGTTACCTAGGTACACTGGAAAAGAATTTCCTGCCTTCAGTTTCCTGCATCTCCTCACAACCATCAGCAAAAGCAAAACAAATCATCTCATCAGTATCATTGACTTTTTCCTTTGCCTTCTCCCTATCCCTCTCTTGCTCCCACAGCCCTTGCTCACGGCCAGTTAAGGGCGATCCTAACCATCTTTCACCATGCCTTGTCCTAAAAAAAAATCTAAATTATAGTGTATTTTTGCTATAGGAAAGCTGACTCTGAGCATGTACAGAGTGCCTTCTCTCCTTGGCACTGAGCCACTACAGTTCGTTCCTGGCCCACCTAAAATTCCAGAGCAGGGCTTCCTTACAGCAGAAGATGGCAAGGTTGGCACGGAGAATTTGAACCCGGTACTTGTTAGTAAACATTAAATGGTTATCCTCAACTCCATTGTGAGAACTGTAATTTGTGTCTGTGTTTTTCCCCCTTAGCTGGCTCCCCACATTGCTCAGAGAGACATGCCCTGTTTGATCCTCATGTATAAACCAAATAAAAACCTTTTTATTTGATTAAAAAAAGGGAGAAACGCAGGCACAGACGAGAAGCAGCAGGAAGACCTGTAATATATATCATTATCAGGAGCACCTCTGTCTGTACTGTAGTTTTTTCCCCCAATAAGCTAATCTATGACAAAACCAAAGACAAAATGAGGGACAGATTCTGCTCACTTGTGGCCCAATTCTAAGACTTGTTTTTGTTTTGTTTTAAATTGGAAGCAAATCTCATACAAGTTTTCAAACTTACTTCACCAAAGTAAATACATTATATACATGATTTAGAATAAAAATGTAGACAAAATCATAAAATCATAGGATTGTATAGGTGGGAGAGACTCAAAAGGTCATCTAAGCTAACCAATAGGAAAAAAAATATTGCCAGATTCTCCACTTCCTTAGCTTCTCCTGCTGCTACACCTGCTGAAATTCCTTTTTCTCATCTGAAAATCACAGGAGTGTTCTTCTCTTTCACATCTCACTGTACAAGCTGACCCTTTTCTACTTCTGAACGACATTTTAATTCATCGCTCCCTTTCCATAGAAACAAGATTCAATTGAGATTCTTCCAGGCCACTGTGGATCACCACCGTGCAAAATGAAAAGGAGACAGAAGCATCCTTTAGGCACTCCATTTGAGACCCTTTCATGGGTCCCTTCCAAAATGTCTAGCTTGCTCTGTTGAAGGAAGGTTGCAAACGGATCGGATAAAGGACAGAACAAGACCGGACCTGAATTTGTGCCTATAGCGGAAGCTTGGGCTGGAGAAATCAACAGATTAAAGTTTTCAGAGCAGAGAAGATGGGACATGAGCACCCTGCTAACATCTGGTGACAAAGCATCCAGATGCCAGCTGTGCAGTTGGGAAGAAGACAGACACAGGCCAAAACTAGGATAAAGAGGAGCTGAGCTCTTCCTACCTGTGGGTCTGAAGGTGAGCGAGGGCTTCCTGCTGTTGCCACCTCTCTTCGGCAAATCTGGCAGCCGGCTGGCTTGGCGCTCCGGAGTTTAAAGGCAGCGTCTCCCTCGCTTTGCCAGGCGTGGGAGAGCGCGGGGGCTGGAGGGGGGCTGCTCGTGGAGACGAGGCATGGGGGCGAGGAAGCAATGGAGAGCTGGTGTCGCCTTGATCTCTCCCCCTGGGAAACACACACACACACCGATTTCTCTCATAGGGGGACCTGCACATCTTCTAAGTCTTTGAGCTGCCTCTCTGGAAAAGTTCCTTGCCGACTTTGGCTAGGGCACCTCTGTGGTGGGGAAGGAGAGATGCTGTCCAGGAACCAGGGAAGAAAGTTTACTGCATGGTACCCTGGCTTCAGCTGGACATACAGGCTGAAAGTGTTTATAAAAAAAAATCTAAGGGAAGTTAGAGAGAGAGAGAGAGAGAGAACCAAAAATGAATAAATAAAAATAAAAGCAATAGGGAAGAAATGGCATGGATGGATGGATGGATGGATGGATGGATGGATGGATGGATGGATGGATGGATGGATGGATGGATGGATGGATGGATGGATAGATAGATAGATAGATAGATAGATAGATAGATAGATAGATAGATAGATAGATAGATAGATAGATAGATAGATAGATAGATAGATAGATAGATAGATAGATAATGATCCAATTCTTTCATTCATTTCTCTCTCCACCCACTAGAGCATATTTGTTTGTTTGTTTGTTTGTTTGTTTGATCTTTCTCATCCTTTTCCCTTTATTTTCTCTGTGTTTGCACAATCACAACATTTAAACATACTTAACAAGAAAAAATCCGTGCAAGGTGTATGAAAGCGAAACCTGCCTCAAAACAAACAGCAAACTGGCACAGCTCGGAAACCTTTTAAATAAAATAACACGCTACGTTTTAAGGTAAGAAGTTTTAACGTTTTGAAACTGTAGGCATTGTGATCCGTAACATCCAGACGGCCACATGTTGGCCACTCTTCTTGAACATCCAGGAGTTTAACCGTTTTTCAGACTCCAAAAGAAGTTAGCTGAGAAAAATGTAGCTTTCTGGATGCCAGATTTTGGCTAATCGTGGTTGGGAATTGTGTTTGGCTGACCTGTTTGGGTTGGGGTTTTTTTTACATTTTTGACTGTCTGGCTGCTAAAACCCCCACATCCCCATTTTACCTGATAAGAAGGAACCCTCAGAAAAAAAAGGTTCAGTTTTGAAGATGTCAGAAGACTCTGGTGGTTTTACTGTGACAAGCAGCCCTCTCTCTCTGGAAACTCTTAAGAGCGTGTTGGGTTTCTTTTAAGCCTCTTTTCTACATCCCACATTCTTTTCTAACTAAAAATTGCTAGAAGAGGAGTATTTTTGGCGGCGTTTTCATGAGAATGGTTTCATCGGACCTATTCATAGTCTCCCCATCAATTGAGGGGGATTGAAAACGTCCCTCCCCAGGTCAGAAAGTGAACATATTTTGTGAGGAAGAAAAGTTTAGAAGATTGCCACAGGGTGCACCAGGAAATCTGAATGGGAACAGCAGAGATCATGCTAAACCAAGGAACACGCTCAGGGGAACGGATGATGCAAGAGAACATCCACATAAACACATTAATAAAATTGCTGTTTTTCAGCGAAAATGACAAAATTGCTTACTCTTTCGTGTCTATTTATGGACTCGGGTTTGGAAATGTCAGCTTGTTGTGGAGTTACAAAGCAGATCCCAAGAGGAAAAAAACAAGGGTAGGAATATGCAGCCTGCCTTTGGCTGGATGTATCATCACAGAGAAAACCTGGATCGCTTTCGTTATAGCTTAGTAGTTAAACCATGAAGATTTCAAATCTATAGCAATGTAATTTGAGAAGGGTAATGTACTTATCCAAAGATAACTCCTTTGTTTTTTTACCATGACTACTAGAAACATGTCTTTTAAATTAAAACTAAGCACTAGGTGATATCTTTAGCCCATATTTAGCAGGGGTGATCCTTCAAATGGTGAAAGAGATCTGTTTGTCACAGCACCTGGTTTTTCTCAGTTCTCTATCTGGGACTTAATTGTGCTTTTTTAAAATGAACTTTCATTAGGAGGTAAGCATAAGCTGACTTTAGAAGTCTGATTGCTAAGAAAGCCCAGTGTTGCTGAGAGAAAATGTGTTGATCCGATGGAATATCCACTTGCAGTTCTTCTTTACAAAGCTGGGACTATATGCGGAGAATACTATTGAGCAGTGAATGGCAGCCACATGTTGAACTTATGGGAGTACAGCTTGGATTCTGAGGTGGAAATAACTGGCTTTTTTTATATAATCCAGAAGCTCAACACTTGCTCCGTGAGGTGTCCACAACATCAGTGTAGTGTAAATGGAGGGTGGGTGGCAAGAACAGCAAGAAAATGACAAGAGAAACTGAGAGGACCTGGAGAATTTCCCAGGTGTCAAACGATTCACGCGCTACCATTGCCAACTTCCAAATAGGTGCTAATAATAATTCTGGCTCACTTTACATCATTGTTGTAAAGACTTGCTGAGATAATTTCATAATGAGTCATTCAGAGAACTAAAAGCACTATGTACATTCTATGTATTTTTGGCTGCAGTGTGCCTCGAAAAGCTAAAATGTTTTTATCAGTAAGCAACAGTTTCCACTGTTCTCCTGAGAGTTTATGATATTTCCATGTTGTCTGATGAAGATTTCTGTGAAACTCAAAAGCCTGCAACCCCATAGATAATTTTTTCCAGATATGTTATATATCTTCTTCCCAGGCAGCCAGAAAAGGGGGATGTTGTAAATAACAATAGGTTTGGGGCGTTTCATACAGGGTTCTCTGATCCAATGATGAAAGACACAGGCATTCTTAGGCCCCCTAAAATAATCAACACATATTTTTATTTTTCCACACCCAAAGGGACTAGAACATGTCTTGATTTTCGCTCTGCAAGGGCTTTCTCCTGTGATTCTTTTTTAAAGATTTTGATTGGCTGCTTCTGTTTAATAGGATTATATATACTAGTTCACAGATAGTTTACATTCTTAGAGTCTCCCTGTATGAGGACATCAATCTTGGTCTTTAACTGAAAGAAAAAAACAAAATATCCCAGATGTTGGAGAGGCCCAGTGGTGGGCCTCTCCAAGACGAGATAAAAATGTGTGAGATAAAAATAGGAGCGGTCTTTTGAAAGGATAGATTTGCAGAAATGTGCTAATTCATTCAAATTAAGTAGCAGATGCTTCGGTTCTGCATTGTCAATAAGAACAGATTCTGAGTGCCACTAAAAATTACTCTTTTAATTAAGAAAAAAAGCAGGTCTACTTTGATTTAGCATCCTCTTCAACTTAAAAGTGGCAGCAATAAGAGTTATTCATTCGCTGCCTTGAGTATTCGCATCAGCTTTGCCACCCTATCATTCTCTGGACAGCTCACAAAGATAAAATGATAATGCATGGGGATTTTAAAAATCTGGATGAACAGACCCAGGGCACCCCCAGAAGAAGGGGCAACCACTTCTGAATGTCTTTCTCCTGGAAACCCCCGAAAAAGTTTGCCATTAAGTCGGGAACTGACTTAATGGCATAGGATTATTATTATCTAGTATATTGTAGAAGAGTATTCCGCATGGTGAGCATTGGCAAATAACTGTAGAATGGAATTCAGGAAATGTCGAGGCTCAAAGCTGCTGTAGTCTTTAAAAAGTACATTTTCCAACCTCTGGACCGTTGTGGTTGGCTTCACTACGGCATATGTGAATTCTCTTTTTAAAGATCCATATGGGGCTACGAAAGAGAAGCCGGGTCTGCCCAATTTGATTGCAATTTGGGGCATGTATGCCCATTCTTAATTGCAGTCAAATTGGGCATATACATATTTTTGATCTCTGTATAGAGAGATCAGCCTTCCTCAACCTGGAACTTTCCAGATCTTTTGGACAACAAATCCCAGCAACCCTGGATAGCAGGCACAATGGTTAGGAACTCTGAGATTTGTAGTCCAAAACCAACACTTTGAAAAGTTCCTGCTTGTTTGTTACAAAGCCTATGACCACGGCTTTGCTTGATGAAGGCTTCTAAGAATTGTACTTTTTTTTTTTAATGTAAGGTTTCCAAGCTGAATTCAGAACATACGGAAGGCACCACTTGGGGGAGGGGCGAGTCTCATCTAATTAGCGGAACGCCTTTATTAACTTTTCTGTTAAACGCCATCCTGGAGGTTTTTATAAAGTTATAATTGTCCTGAAGAAGGGAATAAGGCTGAGAAATGACTCTGTTGCAAGAGGGTGTGTTGCATATGGAAGCATTGTTTTCTTTCGATTTTTGGAGATGCTATAAAAGGGGGGTGTTGAATTTTAATATTCAGGGAATTTGTGTCCTCCGACGCGTTTTTGCATGTCAATTATTAACCAAAACGAACAGCGCGCGCTTCTCCGCCGCTGCCATCCGTCCCCATGACAACCAGTCGGGATGAGCGCGCGGCTCCCGGCGGCCTCTGATTGGCCCGGCGGCCGACGCTTGAAAGCACAGGCTCTGTCATTGGCCCACATTCCTCGCGTCACGTGATCGGCCAAGATGGCGGCGCCCATGGTGTTCTACCGGGGTCTGGGGTTGCGCTGGCGGGCGCTTCTTTGGGGCGCTTCGGGGCGCTGGGGAAGCCGCTGCGCTTCCTCCGCCGGCTTAAAGAGCCACTTATACGAGAACGCGCGGGAAGGGTGGATGGCGTGGCCGCAGCTGAACACGGAGGCGCTGAAGGGGCAGCTGGAGGAAGTTGAACGGGAGATGCAGAGGCGCAAAGGGCCCCTTGAGCCGGGGAACCTGCGTGAGATTGTAAGAGAGAGGGCTAAGAGGCCCATGGCGGGGTTCAGCTGGGCGGGCAGGGGGTGGGCGACTCACACTCTGGTCTACTCTGTTCAGTATTGTCTCCCCTGGCTGACAGCATCTCTCCCCCCCCCAAAAAAAAATATACCTGGGATAATCTGTATACGGTAATAAGCAGATGCCTGATCACAGAGGAAAGACAAACTTCTGTCTCAGAGGAAGGCTTCTGCTTCCTCGTCCTGAGCTCATTACAGCCAGAAAATGCAAGATTAGAGATGCAAAATTTCTGAAAATGCCCTTTTCCAGAAAAAAAAGGGGGTGAAAGCATGTGTGCAAAATTGTCTAGACTGGATTGACTGAGAATGAAAATCTTTTTTTGCGGGGGGATATATCTTCCCCCATTTATTCCTGGAAAAAATGGAAATTTTCAGAAATTTTACATCTCTATACAAGATCCTGTGCCGTAATGCCACCTGTGGACTGAGGAGGAGGAGTGTGCTTCTGAGGTTGTGCAAAGTGTACTCTAGCTCTGTGGTGGTTTAAAAGCAAAGCACACTGCTTGTATACAGTCCCATAGCACTTAAAGCACTCTCTGGGTGGTTTACAGTTTAATTATGCGGGTTACACATTCCCCTGCTGCAAGTTGGGTACTCGGTTTACTAACATCTGATGGATAGAAGGCTGAGTGAACTTCGAGCTGGCTACCTGAGCCTGCGATTGAACTCAGGCCATGAGCAGAGTTTTGGCTGCAGTACTGCAGTTTTTAACCACTACACCAACAAGGGTCTTTTTTTGATGATTTAGTCTCCTTTTCTTTCCAGCAGCATTGCTGAGCTTATTTAGTAAGCAAAACTTCAGTAGGCCAAGCTTTTTTCCTCCCTCGCTCTGCTTATCTTCATATTTGGAAGTCCTGTTTCCATTAAATCTTTTTCACCCCATCTTAGTCAGAGATTGGTTGAAGGACAAGTAGCCTTGCCAACCTTCAAAACAGCACTTCTGTTGGCCCCTAAGTTCTGAGTGGCAAGAGAAGGCCTTCCCATCTTGGAATGATAGCATAAAACACACATCATATATTTTGATTTCCATTGTTTCTGTTTTTCCTTTTACGGCACTGTGGTTTCAAAGAGGACACTACCTGTGGCTATTCACACCTGACGCTTTGTTTTTGAATGCTTTTACAAAAGCTGTGTCGGGTTCTATCATGCTCCTATTTGTTTTCCTGATGCCCACCAGGTTTCCATTTGGCAGCGACTAGTGGAAGTGCGGGAAGAGGCTGCCCTATTGGGAGTGGAGAAAGAGAAGATTTCTGAAAGTGTGAAGGAGCTTGTGGTGAGTCCAGAAGACATTGACTGTCATGAAGCCGTCCATAAAGTGCCACAACTGCTGCTGAAAATATGTGTCAACAAATTAAAATATAGGGCCAGGTGTGTTTTCTTTTGTTTAGAAGCGTGGTTGGTTCCCAGCCTTTTTAAAAGTTATGACCCACTTTTATAATACAAAGTGTCCCATGACCTTCCCCCACCATATTAGCATAAAAAGTCATTTTTAATAGGGTAAGTGCATCCTTTCTCAGAAAGTAGAGGCTTCTTTCTCCCCCAAAAGGCCTGTTTCTCATGCATACGCATACATATTAACTTTAATATCCTGCTCTGAAAGGTCAAGGGAGAAATTATTTATCAAAGGCTACAATATAAGGTGACCTGTGACCACTCAGAAAACACTTCGTGACCCCCAAGTTGGGAAACACTGTTTTAGGAGAATGAATTTGAACTGTGAGCACTGGAGGCCTTCTTTTCTTTGAAGTTGGGAAGTAAAATCATAAATTCTTACATTTTGGTTATTTGTCTTTTTGCACTTGAGTGAGAACTAGAAACATTCTTAGATCTTTGGGCTCCTAATTATTACATTTATTTCTTCACGGAAATAGCTTTTATTTCACTTCTAATTCATTTTTTAAATCTTCCTGTTCTAGAATAACCACGACAGCAGCGCTTTGCAGTCGGTAAGGAAATTTGTCTTTGTTTGTCTGTTAGTTTTTGTTTTGCTAGATGAACGATTGTGCCTCTTTTCAGCCTGAAAGTGGCGCAGCAATATCTGATACGGCAACAAGATATGGGTGTGGTTTGTGTCATTTGTTTGACCACATTAAAGGCCAGAAAAATCCCTGCGGGATCAGATAATGTACCCACCTGAAGCATTCTGTTTGTTATAGGGGTCGAACAGCTGCCTCTGTGAAGCCCCTAAGGAGGATGTGAAGGCAACAGAACACTTTAGTTTTCCTTTTAGAGGTGGGCCAAAAAATGAGGGAGAAGGGGCTATTTGTATCCACTTATGTAGGAAACAGCAAATCAAACCAAGCATCTTAAGAATTTTAAAGTCAGTTTCTCTCTTGGAGCTCCCGGTTACCCGATGTTTCCATGTGTATCACTTCTAGGGAGGTTGTTGCTGTTAAAAAACTTGGCCCTGGTTTTATTGTTGTTTTTAAACCAAGCCTGCTTATCCCTGATTACCTCCTCCTCTCCTCCTTGCCAGCTCCCTCTTTACAACATCTTGCGGCAGCAGGGGAGGGAAATTCGCCACCACCTCAACGCCTTGCGCCAGGAAGAGGCAGATTTGGAAGAAAAATACTACCTCCTCGCGCTCAAGCTGCCCAACAGGACCCATCCTGACGTGGTAAAAGAGTGAGACACAGAGAAGCAGTGTAGAGCTTTGTATACTTTTTTGAGTAGTACAAATGTAATAAGCAACACAATTCTGTGTCAACAATGGAGGCAAAGCCTCTGGCTACCCTTGGCTCCGATGCTTGCCGACCGTGGCTTAAATCAGAAGGATCTCTGGCTGCTATTGGCTGAACTGCTTAGTTGTCTTGAGACTGGCCGGGCAGGTACATAGTAGGCCTTGAGTAACCAGGCAGTGACCAGGTAGGACACACCTGACCTGGACAGTATGCCGTGAGGTGTCCATCACCTCTGTCGATGGAGTGCCAGAAATGTCAAGTCCCACTTTCCTGTGGCTGCCTGCCTTATCGCCCTGACTCCTTCCTGCTCCCTGAGCCTTTTCTTGTCTTGTTGATGGCACCGTCTCTGCCTTCCTGTTTTCCTACTTGTCGTCTCCCCCCCAATAGATGAAGTAGGAGCAAACAGCTAATGCCACCAGCTCTGCTTTATAGACCCCAAGTGACTCATCTGCTTCCCTCTACCCAGTTTCTGTAGAGGTTTCAGTGCCCGTCTTCACTTTTCCTGCCTCTCAAAGTCCCACAAGACACAGAGTCTTTCTGGTTCAAAGCTTCGTGGCCTGATCCTTCTTCTCTTGCCAGGGGTAACTGTTCCGTTTAAAGACATGTGGTGATCAAGCCCATGGAGAGAGAGAGAGCAGAGATAATTATGTTTGTTTTGTCCCTTAACCTCTGGTCTTTTCCTTCTGCAGCCAGTTGGAGATGAGAGCCAAGCGCGGGTGATGGAAACCGTGGGGCCAAAACGAGGTGAGAAGCAGGAAGGAGGAATCTCTGCCCGTACTGGATCCGAAGCAGAGTTGGACACTCCTTTCAGACAGAACTTCCATGCCTTTAGCAAGTTGGATCTGCTGGATCCTTTCTCTTCCTTGGGTTTAATTCTGTATTATTATTATTATTTTGGAAACAGCTTTTGACTTCGAGCCGAAAGGGCACATGCAGATTGGGGAAAAGCTGGATCTCATAAGGCAAAGGTGAGTACGAGAATCTGTTTCCTCGGGGGATCAAAACCCTCCTAAATCTCCTCTCTTCGTAGTGGAGAGAGCATGGATTGTTCAGTGGTTTAAGGCATCTGGCTGCAGAACCTGAACTTGGGAGTTTGATTCCTCACTCTACCTCCCTGACAGGGGCTGGATTCAACAATCCACAGGATCCCTTCCAGCTCTGCAGTTTTAGGATTATTGATATTATTATGTCCTGCAAAAGATGATAATGTTGAGTGTTTTTAAAAAGGCAGAGTTAACACAAAGCCACAGCGCCACCTCCCGGCAAAGCAAACCTCAGGATCCTTGTGTGTGGGAACAGCAGTGGTGGAAGTGGTTGATCTCTGAAATCGGAATATTATCTGGAGGAGAAGCTGGAGCTTCAAATGTAGCCGAAGCAGTGCAAAAGGCCTCCTTCTGAAGAGCTGCCTTGTTGCCTTGTGGGCAGGTCCCTTTCTGGATCTCGAGGCACCAATCAGCTAATTGGGAACGCCCCTCCTTCCCAGAGGAGTAATTAAATATTTCATAGCTGGCCTTTGTGATAGTTTCTTTCCGAAAGGAAACAGCTGCCTCCTACCATCCGTCGCCCATTTCAAAAAGTTCCTTCCAGGCCTTGGGGCCAAAACCGATCGGGGAAGAAGTGGGGGAGATGCCCTGCGCCCTGATTCAATAGGTGACTGTCACTGAAACGATGCTGCATGGCTATGGCTGAGGTTCCCTCTTCTTTCTAGCCAGAGAAGTATTTCCCTGAATGTGAAACACATATCATCTTGACAGCGTGTCCTCCAAGACTGTGTTGTTCTGTTTCTAAAATTGATGTACACTTTTTGCTTACTTTTATATGCATGTGTGAACCAGGGTTGGCCTCCTGAGTACTTGTAGTTTTGATCCCCATCCCCATGGTGAAGCTTGTGCCAGCGATTTCTGTGTCATAGGTTCCCAACTTTGGGTACCCCAAAGTTCTTGGACAGCAACTCCCAGAAGCCTTCACCACTAGCTGAGCTGGCCAGGATTTCTAGGAGTAGCCATCCAAGAATGTTGCAGGGGGGGCAAGGTTGGGAAGCACGGCTATATAGCATGTGGTTATTTGTCTATTTATTTATGTATTAAATGTATACCTCGCCCATTTAGACAACGTCTACTCTGTCCGGCTACCAATAAAAATAGAACAAAAGCAATCTAATATATCAAAACAGCAATTTAACAACAATAACAATATCACTCAAGATGGAAAAATAGAAATCAAGTGGTCTGCCAAGCCTGTTTGGCCTCCGGGCTCTTCTTGAAACCAGAAGGAATTTTCAGGGACCAAAGCAGGGTGATCCATGAGTGTAGCCGCTGTCCTGAAAAACTCCTTGATCTGTTCTCACCTCTCCTTTTTCTAGGCGCTTGTCCCACGTCTCTGGATATCGGTCGTACTATTTGCGTGGAGCAGGGGCCCTCCTCCAGCAAGCCCTGGTGCAGTTTACTTTCAACAAGCTGCTGAAAAAGGTACAGAGAGCGACTTGGTGTTCACTCAACCCTGCAAGGGTTTCCTTTCCTAGGGTCTCTTACCAGCGAAGCCCAAATTTGTCTGGGTACGTACATCACTTTGTACAAAAAGGTGCCAAACTGGATTGGGCGGAGAGGTACATCATCCAACATTCGGCTTAAAAAGGCCGGGCAGGTAAGGGGCAGCCCCCAGGTGACCAAAGGTGTGGTTAAGCCAAGGGTCTGCCTCTGAACCAGGGGTCTGTTTTCTTTCTACTTTTCCTTGGAGCACAAGAACTAAAAGCTGGGAATTCTGGGTCCCCAGAAGCAGCCAGCCAGAGGGCATCTCGGAAGCTCCTCATTTTTCATTTATGTGTTTGTAGGGCTTCATCCCAATGGTGGTTCCAGATCTGCTGAAGGCAGCCGTGTTTGTAAGTCTCTCTCCCCCTTCCCTCCTGCATGTGGGGTCCAAAAGCTTTCAATTCCCAAACGCTACCAAGCAACACCAGTTCAGGGTGTGTTTCCCTGCAAAGGCACCCACCCACCTGACTATAGAGAGGATGGCTTGGGTCTGTTTCCCCCCCTCCCAGGGCAGGGGGAATTAACCCAGCTGCTAAATCTTAGCACTTCCTGTTATTGCCGAAGCCAGCAGGCAGTTGGTCTTCTTATGGACTCATGGAGCAAGCAGGGAGCCAGGTGGTGGCAATTGTTCTGCACAGCCTGAACAGAAAGAGGCTTAAAACTCACCAGATACTGTTTTGGAGTGGAATATTCCTCCCTGTCCATTTTAATGGGTGAGCTGTGTTCTCGAAAGAATCTCACAATGCAAAAAACGGTGGTACAGAATCAAAAAGCAGATCAACAGAATGCTGCAGTAATACATCATTACAAGATAATCAATCCAAATATTTCTTTAATACTGAAAGTATAACAGGAGAGTCACAGCACAGATTTATTACCATGTGTGTTTTCATGGGTTGCAATCCTCAGAAACTCTCGCTTAGATAAAATTTGTCAGTCTCTTGAGATGCTTGCTACAGTCCTTTGCGTTTATTTTTGTTACGCCTGCTGAATCAGATTAACATGCCCTGTGTCTTTGAAAACAGCAACCGTGCAACTTCACAACTGTTCATGTTATTTCCCAGAAATATGTACTGTACAAACGCTGGAGGTGCTCCATGTTTAATGCTCCGGGGTGTGTGTGTGTGTGCACAGATGTGTAATGCTCCGGGGTGTGTGTGTGTGTGTGTGCACAGGTGTGTAAATGCCCTCTTGTTCCTTCCGATTCCCAGGAAGGCTGTGGCATGCAACTGGACACCAAGCCCTCCCAGGTGTACAACATAGACCCTTCCCGTTTCGAAGACCTGATCCTGGCAGGCACCTCCGAGGTTGGAATTTCAGGTACCGCCGGAAAAGACGAGGCATGGACCTCGGGAGGGAACGGCTAGAGAAGATGTCTGCAATGCGATAGTTGCATTTGAGGGGGATGATGAGAATTGGAGTCTGCCCTATCTGGTCCGTACCAGCTTGGGAAAGGCTGGTCTAGATGTGTGGGACAGTCAGTGGAAGGAGAGACCTAAGGAAGTATTTCACCGTTTCTCTCCCAAATCTGTTCCTCTTCCTTCTGATTCCCAACAGGGTATTTCATGGACCATGCTGTGAATTTGAAAGATACGCCTGTAAGGTGAGGATGGTCTGCTTCCTTGGGTGGGGTGTTCAAAGAGCCTTCTCCGCAGATGTTCAAGATTCCAAACATCTCATGGCCTCAAGGGGGGGGGGCATGTTCACCAACGTTGGGTTCCCGGATGTTCTCTGACGGCCGATCCCAGAAATCCTGGCCAGCCCAGCTCATGGTGAAGGCTTCTGGGAGTCTTTGAGTCCAAGAACATCTGGGGACTCCAGGTGGGGAACCGTTGAGACCGAAGGAAGTTCAGATGTTCCAGAGCTCCACTCCACTCTTGCTTTTGGGGATTTATGTCATGGAATTAAAGCAGGTTTTTAAGGAGGGATGAGAGACCAACCAAGGGCCATTGTGAGGTCTAGAAAGCTGGTCCTGCAACCGTGGAAGGGGACATGACGGTCTAAAACACCCCAGGCGCCTTCTGCTAAGGTTTATCTGCAATTCCCAGCATACCAGACGCTCAGGGCCATCAGCATGAGCAGTGGGAATTGTAGTCCCAAACATTTACTTTTATTTATTTATTTAAAATATATTTTCTACCCTGCCTTTCTCCTTAAAAAGGACCCAAAAAGGTGGCTTCCATCATTCAAAGACAATATTTAAAGCTAAGAACAGTAAGTCTATAAATATTTGAAAAGACCAGACACACGCCACGCTAAAAGACAGTAAAAACAAAGCAACACCCAAACGCAGTCAGAGCAGTAAGGCACAACCACCCCAATTAAAACCCCACTCAGGCAGCCCATCATAAAGGGGGAAACCTCTGGGAAGCCAGCAGGACTCCATGAATGTGGCCCGGGTTTCAGCCCAAATTTTAAAGTAGCTCACCCAGGCTGCTGGACCAGTTTTGGAGAGAGTCCGGGTTCCTCTTCACCGTCGCCCGAATCATCCTGGTCACCTTCCCTTTTTGCCTTGGGCAGGACGATGTGTTGTAGTAGCTGCTACCGAGCGGAAACCGACAACTTCAAGGAACCTTGGGGACTGTACAGAGTCCACCAGTTCACCAAGGTGAGGATTGTGTGACTCCGGGGAGAGTCTTACTATTACTGGGGGTGGGGAAGGGGTTAGGGCTGGTGTGGGGGATCCCTCTCGGTTGGGGAAGGGTGGGACAGAAACGGGGGTCTTGTCGGTGGACGGAATGGCATTCTGCAGGTCTCTGTGGTCCCCTGCAAAATAGCGGATCTTCTCTCTCCCCCCCCCCATCCTCTTCTGCCTCCCCAGGTAGAAATGTTTGGAGTGACTGCCAACGAGTCTGGATTAGAAAGTGCAGCTTTGTTAGAGGAATTCCTTACTATACAGAAGGAGATTTTCTCTGACCTGGGGCTGCATTACAGGTAAGGAGAGATGCCGGGCTTGGCAGGGATGCCTTGGGGGGGGGCCTACAGGAGACACAAGAATCCTTCCACATTTCTGCTACAGAAAAACAGTGCTTTCGGGGGGAGAAGTTATTTCACACCGTCAGGTTTACTGCAGGACATTCAAACTCAGGGTGGGCACCAGGGATCCTGTCAGCTAAGGTGGCAGGGATTGCTCCTTGCGTCCTTGACCTTGAGAGTCCAGTGGCTGTCTTCTTCTGTGCAGGGTGCTGGATATGCCCACCCAGGAGCTGGGCCTTCCTGCCTACCGGAAATTCGACATTGAAGCCTGGATGCCCGGCCGGGGCAAGTACGGAGAGGTGAGTAGGCCAGTCTGCTGGGAGACCAGCAAGAGAACGTTCCTTGTGATGAAAGCAGAGCTGCTTCCTGGCCTTCCAGCCTCCACCTGGGAGAATCCTTTGGGAGCACCTGCTGGTTTCTTTTGCTCCCAGCTAGAGGGAAGCTGGGGTTGGTTTGGTTTCGGAAGGAGGAGCCCCAAGGCAGCATCTTTCTACCCCTGTGAGTATTTCTTGGATGATCATCCTCAGAAATAGCTGGTAGGGCCAGGGATGTGTGCAATACCTTCTGAAAAGGAGACTTTTCCAGTCCCCCCCACTTCATCCTCAGGAGGCCAGATCTGGCCAGGTCTTGTGTCAGCTGCATCCCCGATGACTCTGAGCCCTCCGGCATCTTGGGGGGCCAGCTCATCCACTGAGCCGGCTTCTGCGCTCAGCTTATGCCATGCTTTGGCGTTTACTGGCGTGATTCTTTGGAGCAGTCCCTGGCGCGCTCTAGCTTGATTTCTCTGCCCCAGTAACCCCGTTTCTTCCCACCTCTCTTCCCTGCCAGATCTCCAGCGCCTCTAACTGCACAGACTACCAGAGCCGGCGCTTGAACATCATGTACTACAACCAGGAAGGGCATCTCTCTTACGCCCATACCGTAAGTTCAGCTTGCCTTGTGGGGCTGGAAACAGGGACAGGCCAAGGCCGGTGTAGAAGGGAGGAGGGCGAAAGCCTGGAACACCCCCCTCCTATAGCTCTGCAGCCTGATGGTAGCCCCCCAACTCCGATCTTTGGCTTTTCTCAGCATGCTCTCTTCCTTGGCAGGTCAACGGCACAGCCTGCGCCGTTCCTCGGTTGCTCATTGCCATCCTAGAGTCCAACCAATGCAAGGTTTGTCTAGTTGTTGATGTTGTTTTAAATACAATGGTGCCCCGCTTAACGATTACCTCGTTAAATGACGAATCCGCTTGACGATGAGGTTTTTGCAATCGCAAAACGATGTTTTAATGGGAAAAATTCACTTAATGATGATCAGTTCCCTGTTTCAGGAACCGATTTTTTGCTTAACGATGGTTTTAAAGCAGCTGATCGGCGGCTCTCAAAATGGCCGCCCACTGTGCAAAATGGCTCCCTGTTTTTAGGATGGATTTTTCGCTGTACAGGCACCGGAAAATGGCCGCCCTATGGAGGAGCTTCACTGGACGATTAGGTATTTAGCCCATTGGAATGCATTGAACTGGTTTTCAATGTGTTTCAATTGGGTTTTTTCCCCCGCTCGACAATGATTTTGCTCTTCAGTGATTTCGCTGGAACGTATTAACGTTCCCAAGCGAGGCACCACTGTGTGCTTTTTCATATGGGGGCATTGGGGGTGGTTGGGGGGCTGAATTGCAATTTAGGAAGGACGTGGAGGGTTTTTGTTCCGTCCCTGAAACACAAGTGAGAACTCGGACCCGTCTAGAAGCCAGTTTTGACTCCCTTAGGCTTCTCTGTGGGCCAGACACTTGTCACAGATGTGTTTCTAAATGTGTCTTTCCCCCAAAATTTAGAAAAGGTCCCCTCCCTTCCTTTGGCATGGAAGGAACAATCGTGCACATTGCTGCGGAGGAGAACGGCCAGTCTTTGAGGCTTTGAGCAGTCCTGTTTCTCCTTTTTTTAAAAGGAATGAGATTGGGTGTATAAGTGTATGTGTGTGTGTAAACGTAGAACTAGAGAGTCAAAAGGGACTCAGTGGTTCAAGCCCAAGGCAGGCATCAACAGGGAAAGCCTCCCTGAGAATGGGCTATGCGACCTCTACAATCCTGGATATTCAGCATTGGGTCTCTCTCTGTTTGTCTGCACCACCCCACCCATTTCTCAAGACTGTGGCCCTCCGACTACCTTCTTTTTTCCCAGCAAAGAAAGCTAGAAAAGCCAGAAAACGTGGGGGAAAAAGGGATGATGGTTGCTGTGGGTTTTTTTGGGCTCTTTGGCCGTGTTCTGAAGGGATGATTCGTCTTTCCCGTCGCCTGTACCATTTAGCATCCTGAAATGCCATTTGTTTTTCCTAAACTGGAATAGCCCTCTGGTCTTTTCCAGTTCTGCAGTTTGTGGAGAGGGGGTGGTGGTATTTGTTTTTGTGTGCGTTGTGTATCCCCCTGGAAGATCTCGGGAGGAGAGAATGGTCCTCCAGATCTATTGAAGGTGCTTCCCGTCAGCTAGAGGTAGTGTTTGGGGCCTCTCGTGCCCCATTTATGTGGAGCTGAGCCCTGGTCTCTGGGTTGCTTCTCATTTTACATTGCTTAAAGTGGGAGATGGCTGGCAGAGGGAGGCTGTGGGCCTGTCCAGGGCTCTGATTAAACCTGTTTTGCCTTTGTTCCTGTCTTTCTTCTGCTCCCAGGATGGCAGCGTCCAGGTGCCGGAGGTCCTGCAGCCGCTGATGAACATGGAAAAGATCGAGAAGCCAAGCTACACCCCACTGAAATACATCGGCCCAAACCAGCCCAAAAAGTGCTGATTCGGCCACTGGAACCTTCGGGTCACCCTGGAAAATCAGGGACCAGTTGATCCTTAGGGAGACCCCAGTGAAAGCACAGATACTTCTCCAGGAAGAAGGGTGTAGGGCGTTCTGTGTGTGTCTTTGGGGAGGAGCATCTGAACGTTGCCATGATGTCTTGGCCTTCAGATGAGACCTATGTGGCGGTAGAGAGTTGCCACTGTCTCTGCACATGGGGAGACCCAGTTGGCAAACATTGACATCTTTCCTCCGACGAACTCTGTGGAATCTAAAAGGGTTTGTGAAAGTCTGCGTTCCCACTCTTTCATGTCGTCTCTGAAACACGACACACCCTTCGTGTGGCCAGGAATCCTTCCTCGGTCCTGCTTTCCAGACCATCTCCCTGTCAGTCGGAGTCTGCCTCCCCTTGCTTCTGAGCCTTTTCTTTGCTTTAAATCCTTGTCACACTTTTGGGGGGTACGGCTTGACTTACTGTCCTTGCGGGCGTTGGTGGCATAAACTGCTCGGAATCAGAGAAGACATTCACACAATAAAGATTGCCCGCTGAAAAGCTGGCTTTTGGGGGTGTTGCTGCTTCTCTGAGTGGCGTGAGAAATTAGGCAGAGCAATATACTCATTGTCATCTTAGAACTCCAGAGCTGGAAGGGGACCCCCAGGGATCATCAGGTCCAGCCCCTGTCAAGGAGGTCCAGTGGGGGAATTCGAACTTCCAACCTCTCGCTCTGCAGCCTAATGTTTCAACCACTGGGCTATACAGCCAGTTGTTCTACCTCCATTGCTCAGAAAGGTTCTCTTTTGGATTGTAACTTCCAGAATCCTAAACTTACTCCCCTGCATCCTCCCTAACTATTTTCAGCTTAGTTAACAATCCTTGCAGTAACAGTGTGAGCTAATTATATGGTGAGCTAATTTAATGCAAACTTTGGAGTGTGGGGGGTTGATCTGCAATGAACAATCAAGAATCATTGGATTAACAAAAGACCTGTTCCCAAAACAGGAACATGCTAGAACTAGGATTGTTGATAACTTATCAATGATAAGGATCGAGAAAGCTGCTTGATTTTTTTTTAACTCTTTGGAAATGTAAGTATAGGGATCAGGATGAGCGCTTACTTCCGGGTTTATCATGACACCACTGCTTAATATATTTGTTTCAGCTGTATGCTCCTGGGTTTAGATAAAAATGGACTTAGAAATAAAAGAGGCGGCTTAAACTGAGTGATCAGCCTGTTATAACCTGCAGGTTTATCAGATCATAGTTTGCCAAGACTCGCTCAACCAATGAGAACTCTTTTGCTTCGTTTTCTGTGTGGTGGGCGTTATTTTACAGAGGAATATGCAGTGAAGTCAGCTGCATTTTGCTTTGCAGTCCAATCCCACGCATTTCACTTCTCCATTGAGGTTTTATCTCAAACTTGGCTTCTAAATATTCAAGACCGCAGATGTTGCTCTCGTCCTCTCAACGCCAGCCCTGCGAGGTAGGGCAGGCAGACCGGAGACCCAGGGAGTTTCACTCCTGGGTGAAGATAGAAGCCCGAGACTCTCGAACCTCTGTCCATCATCCTAGCCTATCTCTCCCCCCCTCCCCCTGTGTTGCTGGGTTGCACCTTCCATCAGCCTAGCCAAGAGTGAAGGCAGATGGGTGTTGGAGTCCAGCAACATGGGAAACGCTGTGTGCACCCCTTCAACACACATTTCAGGACAGTCTTGACCTATTCTTTGGGAACAGCCGCCGTCTTGCTGTCGGGTGAGTTCTCAAGAGGGAAGCAAGCGTTTTTATGGGATGTATCAAGCATCAGCCAAGCGCACCTGCCCGGCAGCTGCCTTTCCATTATGCAGAGAGGCTGCTGCCGAGCTAGATGCCCCCCGAGTGAGCGTGCTTTTGAAAACATAATCCAAACAGAAAACCAATGGCAGATCCAATTTGGAGAAAAGCCACCAGGCGGCAGGTGGAGTGGGTCTTAATAAATGGGGGTGGAGAAACGGCTCAAGGCGACGGGCGTCTGAAAAATGGGCCAGCTGCTCTCAGCCATTGCAGCAGCCAGCTTTGGAGTTACACAACACTCCTTTCCACCAGAGGGTGAAAGAGATGACAACAGCTAGTACTGTGCATAATGGTTTGGGTTTTGGGGGAGGATTTTGAAAGGCCTGGGTTCAAATCCCTGTTTGGCCATGAAACTCCGTGGCTTGACCTTGAGCCAGGCACTCTCTTTCAGCCTGGACTCCTCTCAGGGTGGTTGTGAGGATGAAACGGGGTGGGGGTGGGGGAGAGAAAGACGACAGCCCCAGGTCTAACCTTGAGCTCATTGCAGGAATGTAATATGTAGTTTTACTTATGGAACACCATCCATCAGTGCAACTTTCTGCCGCCCGCTTTGGAAGACGAAGAAGATTCTGGTGGTTAGCCCTTGGGGTGCCACAACACTCTTAGTTTAGACGCGGTGCAGGATCTGCACCCTGCCTGCCCCGTCCTTGAAAACTTCGAATTTGCAGGCTTTCTGCCAGTTCCCCAGCTTCTCTTTTGCATTCTTCCCCCCAGTGTAAGCCCCATTTTCAGCAGTTGGAAGCCACTGGAGAGACCCACCCCCTCCCCAGCCCTCCTCCTCCAACTGGAGATGATGCAGGCAAGAGTAGAAGGAGACGATTTTGCAAGCAGCATTAAAACCATGCATCAAGATTGCTGCTTATCAATGAGATAGATTGGAAGGGGGGAACTTGTCCAGTGCATAGACCCCCCCTCCATCATCTGTTCTGAGTAGGTGACATCACTTCCTCCCCAGCCTGCCTCCTATCTAAAATCCTCCCCCTCCCCTGCCCGAGTCTCAGATGCACCTCGGTTGAGTTGCCTCGGTGCACAGCAAGTCCTTCAGCCTCCAAGGACGTCCACCAGCAGGTTGTGTTTTCTCCCCTTCTTGTATTTTCTCCCCATCTCCGGCGGTTTCCCTGCCCCTGTGATCTCCCCCTCTCCTCCTCTTTTCCCTTTCCAACCACCATCCCCAAAAGAAGGGGCTGGGAAATTCCTGCAGCGTTGGCAAGACCAAGACGAGCATGCCCTCGCCCGGTGGCCCTCTTCTGCTGGCTCTGTGCCTCTGCCAAGGTAAGGCTGTCAAGGGTCCGAAGAACTGGAGGAGGAGGAGGAAGAGGGAGGGTGGGTGAAGCTCTTTATAGGCTCAGCTGGAAAAGTGAGCCTCTCTTGATCCCCCCCCCATCCAGCCCCCAACATGCATCACAAAGTGGAAAAAAGTCCATTTAAATTCCTAGGGTCCCCCTTTTTCTTTCTCCTTTTTTTTAAAAAAGGGGTGATTCATTCTGGGGTGAACTCTCATAACACTTCCTGGCCCACCCAACCACATTTCTTCTTCTTTGGCTTTGTTTTAGCTTATTTGTTTAAAATAATTATATGCCACTTTTCTCCTAAAGGATCTGCTTTACTAAAGGAAAATGTGCACGCACACTGCCTTCCTCTTTGTTCTGGAGGCTGAATCCAGATTTGGTCCAGGTGTTGATTTCAGTTATGTCTCTTCCTCTCCCTTTCGCCTTCCTGAAATTTCATGGTCTCCTTGCGCATGGATCTCAGGATTGGGAGCAGGTTGTCTGGATTTTAAACCCCTTTCTCTGTAACTCTGTTTGTTCTCAGTGGGAGGAACTTCGCCCCTTCTGTAACGTGTGAGTGCTCTGTATTAAGTAGCTGGACAAAGTGTAGCATAGATAATATTGGTATCCTGCAGTCCTAATGGTTTTCCACCAGAGAGTTTCTTTCCCACCCCATTTGGTTGTGGGTGATGGGGTTTGTAGTCCAACATATCTAGGAGCGACAGCTTGGGGAACAGGATTGCATTACCTTGTTTCTTACCACCAACATAAAATATAAACAATAGGTCTGATTTCTTCATATGCTGTTTAGAATTTCCTCCATCACTATCTTATTATGTTATGTTCTCTAAGAAAATCACATAAACTCTAATATTTCCCCTGCATGATTTTGATTTTTCTTCCAGCACTGCTTTAGAAAAAACTCTCTCTTTTCCTCACCATCTCTCTTTGTTCCTTCCGCCTGATGACTCCTTTTCAAATATTTTGAATTTCAAAAGCCATCTGGAACATGACAGGAACAAGCTGGTGCTTTTGTTAGCGTCTCCCTCTAATCGATTAAAAAAAAAAACACCAGAAGTTTAAAATATCACAAGCTCTCTCTCTCTCTCTCTCTTTGAAAGCAGACTCATGCATAGAAAATGCAGCCCACAATCGTTTCTGTTGAGAATCTGGTCTGAATCCAAGCCAGGGAAATATTTCAGAACCTTGGACAGCAATTTCTGGAGCCAATCTTTCACTCCACTTAACAGGAGCTACCCTTCTTTAAAAACCCTTAAGGCTGAGCCCCATGGGTATGGCAGATCCCTTTGCTAGAAGATTTTCACCCTTTCACCACCGCCCCCATCATCCTTACTAACTCAAACCGCTGGCTATGTTATATATGGGGATTGTTATGCGATATATTCTGGGATACAGAATCTGCCGTACCTCCTTTTGACCCTGGACAGCTTGGAGGGGGAAGCAAGAGAGAACAGAATTATGTGTGTTGGTCCCTTCAAAGTATATCCGGACTCATGTTCTAACCACAAAGTTTCAAAAGAGGGAAAATCATAGGTCAGGACCTCCAAGGGACGTATTCTAGAAACAATGGATTGTCTGATTAGCTTTCGTGGGCTAATCCGAGGCAACGGAAGACTGCTGTTCAGCAGATAAATTGTCTAATACAATCTTATTTTACCCATTCATCTCCCCGGTGCTGTATAAAATGCAATGAATCTTTTGCGATAGTTCTTAACAGTATTGTTTTGTCGTGACCGTACAATTATGGTTCGTTGAAAATGCAGACGCTTCCTTCCAATAGAGGCAATTGGCTCCAGTGAAATGGGGGTGGGTGATAAACCCACACTGTTAAAAAATGTTTTGCAAGAGATTCTCTCCAAAGTATAAAACCGTAGTCCTTAAATAGGTGCAGCACCCCAGAGACCTCCTTTAGAGTTCAGAATAAAACTCGGCACATCGAGTGCCTTGGCAACCTGGGTATCCCCAGAGTCCATGGATGACACCAAGATCTGCCCTGCCAGAATAACATTTTAGAATTATGATGTCCCCCCAACCAACCCACTATCAGGCCACTAGGCATTGCTGCTATTCAGGGCAGCTAGTATTAAGGATTTAATCAAGTTTCCTTTAATACAGCTGAGTGGGGGCAGCTTTGCATGTGAGCAGAGTATGAATTATGGGCTTATGGGCGGCTTTGCTCACGCCACCCCCAACTCTATGATTAGCTAGGGACTCCCACAGGGTTGAGTTTTCACTCTCTGCCTCCTTTTGTGGTGCCCGGCTTAGCTCACTGGAGCTGCCCATAACTCTAAAAGATCTGGCAGGCACCGATCTTTCTGCAGAGCACCTGCACAGCAAGACTGCATTTTGAGCAAGCTTGTCTGTTCAAGGGACCCTGATGGACAATCTCTGATGTTCTTGAGATCTCTCCTTTATACAACATCCTATCCAAATGTTCTGCACCGAGGAATATTAACAGCTGTATACAGTCTGCATCGGGCAGCCCTGAATCCAACACATCTAATGGGATTCATAGGTCACATTAAGGATATTGATCCTTCTGGGTACTCCTTATCAATTACCAATACAGGACACTGACTTGGGTTGAGATGAAGCTTGATCATCATCTCTGAGAGAGATGATGATCCAGCTTCGTCTCAACCCAAGTCAGTGTCCTGTTTTGGTAAACCCTTGGTGGCTGGAAGAGGCTGAGGTTTGTAGTCCAAAAAATAATGTTGTGAAAGGATTGGGAATATCCACAGAAGGTTTGGGAGATCAGTTGTGGACGCCAGTTTTCTGCCTGACTTGATATGAGGCAAGTCAGTCTCTATGCAAAATCTCCTGGCTCCCTTGATACGACTTGAGGGGGGGCCCTCCAAAGTTAGTTTTGGGGTACAGAATAGGTTGATTCCCATTTTCTCAGCTGCAGATTGAAATAAGGAAGTAATGAGAACCAGCTCCAGACGCGTCGAAAGCAATACACATATTGGTGGGGCTTAACTGAGAGGTGTTTCATTGTTTTATAACTGGTCCTGTGGGTCAGGCTGGCTGAGGCTGTAACCCATGAAATAAAAACAAGTCAGTGAACAGTGGTACCTGCCTTAAGGATAAGAACTGAGGTTCTTTTAAGGAGACGGGAGCTGCTTGCATGTTGCTTAACGGCTCTCTCCACAGCCTGAGCACCGGTTGATTTTGCTGTTTTGCTGAACCGAGCCTTATATAATCAACTTATGCAAGATGAAGGATCCCCTTACCTGGAGAGCGTAGCCTTAGCTTCTATTTCTAAGTCAATTATCTTGCCCTCTCCTCCTGCAGTAGATAGTCGATACTCAAATCATCTCCCAGAGCCTCTTAAACCTGGAAACTTCCACCTGCTTGGATCTAGACCCCAATTTTAACCCTTCACCAGCCAAACGGATCAGCCTGAAAATCCCAGATAATGTGGGGAGCTGTGTTAGTCGGTCACAGGAAAATCAACAACCCCAAAGTCACGGCACTTTAAAGAGTAAGAAGATTTGGCTCAAGTTATTCGCGAAGGCTTTCACGGCTGGGATCTAATGGTTGTTGTGGGTTTTTCGGGCTCGAGCAAGAGCACGAAAAACCCACAACAACCATTTGGCACAAGTGTTTATGGCCTGCAGCCTGCTCATTTTAAAGCTTATGCAAAATCAAACTGGTTTGCCTTTAAGATATCACAAGACTTTTTGATATAGAACTGCTGGATAGCTCAATGGGTTGAGGCAAGAGGTTGGGAGTTTGATTCCCCACTATGCCTCCTTCACAGAGGCTGGATTTAATAATCCATAGAGCCCCTTACCAGCTTTGAAGTTCTAAAGTTATGATTACACACTTTAAAACAAGCAGATCATGAACTGGGTGTGTGTGTGTTCCAACATGGCTAAGGTGTTTAATAGAGACATGGAAGGACCCCCATACTGAGCCATAAAACTCAGTGGATAGCTTTAAGTTGGTCACTTTCACACCGGCTGCCTTGTCTCACAGAACTGTTGGGAGTCCACTGGAGGAAAGGTAGAATATAAATATAGTTTATATTATACACATGTGATACAAATTTAACAACACCCCATCCAAATGCAGCTCATGAAACGACTTCTTGATATTAAATTAATTATAGGTTGAGGTCAAACTTGGTACATTTTTTTGTTATTGCAAAAAAGGCACAGAAATTAGGTCCTTGCATGAAACAATAAATTAAAAATCTGGCCACCCTGCCTTCCAGGAATTTTGTTGATTTAAGAGCAAAATAATGACTTTCCAGCACAGCTGTTTTGTTTTGTTTTTTTTAAATGATTTTGCCAGTTCCCTGGCTGTAACAAAATAGCTTTGAAAAGTAATCAGGAACATGGTGTTCCAGGATTCACAATGCAACAGGCTTTAGAGCACAATGCATGTTCCTTGAAGCCTCTGTGAACAGCTGTTCCCCATGCAAATTTAATAGGCCAGACTCTGGTAGGATGATCAGGGAGCAAAATGTACAAGAACACCTGGATAAGCTGTATACTCTGCATATCTCTGGGTTATTTTCTCACTCCCTCAGTCTTCGAGGTGAGACAAAGTCCACTCCCCAGACAAAATAACTACAACTTTTTGCAAAGGCGACAAAGGTTTTTGGCTTATGGCAAAAGTAAACTTTCCAGGGGCAGAGCTTTGCCTTTTGTGCGTGTGTTTGGGTGTGGAGGTGTACACGGCCTGGTGAAATACTCTATCTGCCCATGAGATATACTGTATGTATGAAGACCCATCATTTCTGGGGCAGTGCTTTTAGCCATCCGAGTCAAGAGCATTTTAAATGTTTAACATGCTTTTCATTATTCAATGGCGTTTTAACTAGCATATTGTTTAATTGGTTTGTAATGTTGGAACTTTTAATGTTTTTGATTCTGTTCCTTTTAATATTGTGAGCCACCGTGGGTCCCCTTGTTGGGAGAAAGGTAGCCTATTCATTCATTCATTCATTCATTCATTCATTCATTCATTCATTCATTCATTCATTCATTCAATCCATCAACTCTATAAATCTTCAGAGGAGCTAACTGGGAAGATCCAAAGTTGCTGATCATTGCAAAGAATTGAAGGGAAGTTTAGGCAGCAAGGGACCATATCCAAATCCATAGAGGACCCTTCTGCCTTTGATGGTTATATAGCAAAGTGAATTTATTGGGGCCACAAACTGATTTTATGGAAGCTTCTTCTTAACACTCCTTAATGGAATTCAGACTTCTATTCCCATTCAGATGCAATCACCCGGCTTGAATCGAGAAAAATTCAAGGTTCAAGAGTCCAATCTTGAACCACATCACCATTCAGATGCAATCACCCGGCTTGAATCAAGAAAAATTCAAGGAGTCCAATCTTGAGCCACGTCGTTCTTGTTCCCATTTTATGGATGGGAACCTGAAGCAAATTGTGACCCCACCCTCACATGGAGGTTTTGCAAGCCAATACCGTAGCAAATGGATCCATCATTGTTTTATCGTCCATGCTAATATCTAGTGATCTTGTTTGATCTTGTCATCCTGGTAATGATACAATTTGTGACTTTCAGCCCTTGCTCTGCCGTTAACCACCCAGCTGCCAGAGGAAAGTGAAAAGGTGAGAACGGGCAGGGAGAGAGAACGGGCTCGCCACCCACCTATCAGGATTCGACAGGAGATAGAAAAGCGATATTTAAATTGGAACTGTGCAAGGCTTTGTAAAGCAGTCAATGGAAGGCTTCCTAATCCGTTGTCCTTGTGATGAGTAAGGGTATACTTCCCATCCTCTCCAAACACCGTGGGAATTATTGGCTGGGGATGATGGGACCATGTAGAAAACCCCTGGATGGGAAAAGTGGTTTGCACTTCCAGGATGGAGAAGCTGAGAAGAGGCCCTTACATGCCCGTCAAGAGAAATTTGGAATCTCCACCTTTGTGTAGACTGCAGGGTGGGAAAGACTTCATCTCCCCATCTGAATGAAGGATAGGGGTGAATTATAATGGCTTGTGAATTATAGTTGAGGAGAACCTGAGGTTGACACCTCTCTCTGGCAGAGTGGTGGGGCAGGCAGATATTCAACAGAAGAAGCTTTCCCTTATCCACGGGAGGCTCACTGAGATGGGGCAAGATCACTGGTCCACCCAGCCATGCACTGTGGATCATGATTGGCAGCACCTTCTCTTGGGTTTGAGGGCAGCCTTTTACTTAAATCCTACCTGGAGATCTTGTGGATTCAATTTGAGTCAGGGGGCTTTGTGGCAGCTGGCTGGGGGGGGGTAAGGATGGCCAATTTAGGAGGGAGGAAAGGAGAGAAAGAGAGTCTGGGAAATGTAAACGAGCTCCACATTTATCCCGTTTTTCTTCCCAGGTGACTAAATGCATCACTGAAATCCTAGCAGACGTTCTTTCTGGGCCCAGCCCGATACCAGTCACCAAAGACTGCCTGGAGATTCTTCGGGAGGGTAAGTGGTGATTTCTGTGGCAAAAAAAATGCAATAGAAAGAAGAGAGGTGTCAATTATCCCAAAATGATTGATCCGTTGGTGGGTTTCTTTTAAGTCCCTCCCTTTTCTCCAAATGTGGGATTCAAAGCGGCTCATTGAGGAAATGAACAAAACAAAGACACGGAGAAAAATTGACTGAGATAATATACAGACTTTTCAAAAGAGAGAGAGAGAGATAAGAGATAAAACAGGAAAACAATAGCATATCATTCACAAGCAGCAGTTCGCCACCGGTTTGCAAATTCCCGGGTTTGCCTGCCTTCTAAATTGGGTTAATTGGAACCGGAGATCCATGCTGGGAAGATGCTAGCATTCTTCCCTTCACAAAAGCTCCCCCACCGGCCTGGGTGACCTTGAGGTCTAATATTCTCTAGAGGGTTTGCAGTAAACGATGGGTTTTCTGCACTGGCTTAGCCTAGCTGTAGCAGGGCCGGCCTTATCCTTAAGAGTGAGACGTCACCTCTGCTGGCAGGATTCCAATCCTGTGACTTCCTGCAGGATGTTAACAGAGTCTCTGTTTCAGACGAGAGGGTCCTCGCCGTGCTTCACCACCAGCACCTCCTGACAGAACTGGAAGAAATGGCACATCGAGGTAAACAGGCTGCCCCGCTTGAGACGTCCTCCTTGATGGGATCAGCTCCATGAGCCTTCAAAAAGGTTCCCTGCTAAGGCTGGGATCACAGAGTTGTCTTGGTGGATGGGGCCCCTGGGCAAGGAGCCATAGCCCAACAACACAGACCTGTGCCCCTTTAGCCCCAATACGGGCACATAAAAGTCCTGTAAACAGGTACAACAGGCAAAGAATATTGCCAGAATGCTCCCCCCGCCCCATTCCTGAAGAATCGTTTGGTCTCCAAATGAGAGAGGGAAGCATGTTTCTCATGCCTTGATTCTTTCTCTCCAGAAAATATGAAGCATTACCTGGGGCATGAAGGCAGCCGGGCTGGTTGGGAAGGAAAAAACGAGGAGGAGGAAGTGAAGAAGAGAGATGAGAAGCCCAGCCAGCAGAGAGAAGCCACCTCCGAGAAGACGGAGGAGCAAAACGGAAGACGGAAGGAAGAAGCGCAGGAGGTGGAAGCGTATGAGAAGACGGAGAAGACGGAAGAGAAAGTGAAGGAAGAGAAGGTCTCCCGAGGAGGAGAAAACCATGAGGCTCTGGAAGAGCAGGTCAAGGAGCTGATGGACAAGGAGAAGCAGGAAGAAGAGGAGAAGGAAGAAGAAGCGAGGAAGAGAAGGAGGTCCTCGGAGACGTGGTCTTCTAAGGAATACTTTGGCCACATCAGGAGGGATCCGGGGCGCTCCAAAATCCAGGAGGTGATGCTTCGAGGAAACCAAGATGGCAGGGAGAGGGGTGGTTTCGTTAAGAGGCGATTTAGGCTGGAAGAGGGAAAGGAGAGTTCCGAAGAAGAGCCAAGGAAGGACCGCCATGGAGGTCGCCATCATGAGGACTGGGAAGAAGAGGAGGAGGAGGAAGAAGAGACAGCTGAACTGGCCAAGAGAGTGGCTGAGAAGACCAGCGATGAGGAGACAGCCCAGTTCGAAGAGGAAGAGAAAGGTCTCAAAATGTCCAGTGCCCAGACTCACCTCCACGGAGGCAGGAAACCATGGCAGGAAGAGGAAGAAGGCGGGAGGAGACACGGCCACCACCATACGCCAGCTGGTTTGGACCTCAAGAAGAGACACCAGAAGGGCGCAGTCTATCTGCAGGACAGACACCACGGCCGCGACAGGGATGAAGAAGAGAGAGGGGCCAGTCCCAAAGAGGTCAGTATATCCAGGCTCTAAAAATCCTCCTGGATTTTCCTGCACACCCTTTTAAGGTACCCCAAGTAAGACTTTTAAGCGAGCTTTTGATGCTCCGCTTGGCTTCCAAAATCAGGTGGTATCACGGGTCTTCAGGGTGATCGTTTCATATTTCTAGCCCCAAAGAGGAGAGAGACAGAGAACTGACGCTGAGAGGGTTTTCCTGGCTTTCTGCGCTGCTTCTCTCTCATGACCTCTTTCCTTCTAGGTCCTGGAGTTGGAGAAACTTGAAGAGATCGAGCAGGAGTTGAAAAGGGCTGCTGAGAAGTTAGAGGAACTCAAGAGGGGGTGATGATTCTGTTGTGCTGGGAGCAAGGGGTGGTGGTGGCCGTTGAAGCCCTCTGCCCAGTCCTCTTCCTCCCTTACACACACCACCTCTGTAGATAGAATCTTTCTCTCTTCAGCTTGGCTTTGGACTGTTAATGGGAGCTTTTCCTCGCTTGAAGCTAAAATAATGATAATAATAATTCCACACCCTGTGCTGCACCAGCATCTTCCCTGAAAGCAGGGGTTGGCCAAAGGTGGCCCTCCCAGGCTGTTTGCTTGCCCCGGGACCTCTGAGACCCTCTCCTCCCCAAAACAACCAGTGAAAAAAAGATGGAATTGACACTCTCCAGGATCCCTCTAGGAATGACGAGGCACCTTTTTAATGAAGGCTGCACACCCACCCACACACCCCTTTTAGGATATTAAGATATCCATTTTTTGCAACCAGAAGGGGGGGGAGAACCATCTTTAGAGGCCTCTGCAGGTCCCAGATGATGCCAAGAAAAGGATCCCAGAGCTGATATCCCGAGCTTTAAGGGGAAGAGGAATGAGACTCCTTGTGTGAAAATGTGATAGCACCTTGCTATAAAGACAGTCCTTTAGAAAGACTCTGTTTCCTCTGCCTGGACTGTGCTGTTTTCCAGGACCTTGCTTGCCTCCACCAAGATAACTCTGGTCACCACCTTAGTAGCCTCCTTTCTCCACCCCCAAGTGGTAAACCCACCCTGAGATATTTAGAGGCAAGCAATGCATCCTTTTATATGCAATTCCGCCCTTCTAGCCACGGGTGGAGAAACCAGAGAGCCTCTAAACATTTTGGGCTACAACTCCCGTAATCCTCTATTCCTGGCGATGATGGGGAAGAGCTTCTAGGAGATAAAATCCAAATCATCTTGAGAGCCAAATGTTTCCAGGACTCAAGAGGACCTCTGGGGATAAAACAGGGAGTTCTTACTAAACACAACCGGCCTGTAGTTTCCCATACCTGCAAAAAACGCCCTGCTTAAATCAATGGAAGCTCCGTTTTATAAAAGCAATTCCCTTCCAGAGAGGAGGTGGCCTGTCACCTCTCTGTAGGATTCACGAATGTGCACTTGTGTTTTCCCCCCTCCGCGTCTGTGCTGTAAACACACCTCATTTCTATACAGGGTAGAATTGCGTCCTTAAATTTCATCCTGCCCTTTTCCAGATGAGGACAGAA